AGAATAGTCCTTGGAACATAGCATGTGTTCAGTAGAGATGAACTGCTTTTATTATTATGAACCTTGTATCACATTATGAAATGAAAGATTACTTTAAAAAAAAGAACTTATAAACCAAAAGTGAATGCATAATTTATATGACTAATAGGAATTTGACCTGCAAAAACAAGGGAACAGTATTTATTGTGTATGACAATCCTACAGGTAAGTAGAGATATTCTCATTTTATAGATGAGAAAAATGAGGCTCAAAGTGATTAAAGTACTTGCCTTAGGTCACATCATTAGTAAATGATGTCACATGGTTGCCATCTTATATTCTTTCTACTATATATTTACTATTTTTCTCTAGTGTCTGGAGAATCCAATGCAGGAGTCTCTGACCTTTTTCTTTCTTTTTTTTTTAAATTAAAGAAGCTGTGTGTGTGTGTGTGTGTGTGTGTGTATGTGTATGTGTGTGCACCTGTGCACGTTCTTTTGAAGAGGAGATACATGTCTTTGGAAAGGACATTCCTTCCGCCTTTGGCGGAATGTGCTCATCTGTCAGCAGAGATATTTATTTATGTGGATACTTTTCCAGATCAACAAGGACATTGTGTGTGGGCTATCTGTATGTGGGGCTCTTATGGACTTATCTCTGTGTGGGTGGGACTGTTAAGCCTGTCAGTACTTTAGCTTTTTTACTACTTTTGTACTAACATATTTATGTATATGTTAGGATGGGATAGGAGAATGGAAAGGGTATTGCTATATAGAATATTCCTTGGGACACAGAAAGCTGGGATTATTGACAGAAAAGATCCTGGACAAAGGCCCTGAAGAGAGTAGAGCCATGTAAGCCAGGTGTGGAGTTCTGATTATTTGTTTAATCACATAACTTTCTGGCTGCGTAGTAGTATAAATATAGGTGAAACAAATAAAAAAGCAGAACAAATAAAAAAAATGCTTTGTGAGTTCAGGTGTCTCTCCCTTTTAAAATACTAAATCAATAGGCGCTTTTAAAATGCTCATGGAGGAGATCCCTGGATGGCTCAGTGGTTTAGTGCCTGCCTTTGCCCCAGGGTGTGATCCTGGAGTCCCGGGATCGAGTCCCCACATCGGGCTCCCTGCATGGAGCCTGCTTCTCCCTCTGCCTGTGTCTCTGCCTCTCTCTCTCTCTGTGTCTCTCATGAATAAACAAATAAAATCTTTAAAAATAAAAAATTAAAATGCTCATGGATTTGCTATTATTTTTCTAAAGTGATTTTTCGAAGGAAAAGAGTGGTCTAGGCATTCTCAGTCTTGGTTTTAAAAACCTACTTATTATTTCTATTTAATGATTTAATATATTTATTGAGCACCTCCTAGGTAGCAGGCATTGTTTTGGGGATGTAATAGTGAACACAACAGGAAAAATACTTCTCTAATGGTAGTTTACATTCTAGTGGGGGAGGCAAGAATAAATAATAATTAATGCAAAAAAAATTGGGAATATAGAGTAGGTATGTTGAGGGAATCTTCCAATATATTAATATCAAGTATTTAGTGTTTGTCAGTGTTGTCAAAATATTTTCAGGGATTAATAGTTTTATCTTTGTGCCTTAGTGTCCTTATTAAGTTAATGTAGCCATATTAATTTCATATCAGTTATACTGAGAGAATCAATTGTGCATGTCCAGCAGTTAGTGATGGAATTAAGAGGAATCCTATTTCCATTTTTATACAGTCACTTTTTGTTTATTCGTCACTGCTAATCCAATTAGGGGCTAGTCCAGACTCTTCATTTTCCCCATTGTTGCTTCTGCAGCTCATCCACTGGCTTTTATAACATAGTCCTAACAATTAGGGCATTTATATTCAGGGATCATGTTAAGCTATTCTGTAAGTAAATTTGAAAACAAATGATCTAAATGAGTTTTGAGGTAAATTTGATTGAGTTATGGCCTTGAATAATTCCTACTTGTATGGGTCAATGTGGGAATAGAAAAAATATTCTACTTTGCAGTTATCATGCTTCTACATGTAGGGTTTTCAAAAATTCTAAGATCTGTTTGTGGATACTTTTGTTAGGAGTATAATTTGTGTAAGATGCTTTGTTATTCTTTCATACAAGTGAGTCTTTCTATGTGCTAAGAATTGTAGGTACCAGGGGATGCATCCTGTAATAAATCAAGTCCCTTCTCTTACAGATCTTGCTTCATTCAAGTTGGGATGGATTTAGGTAATTAGCAAGTAAATATAACCTCGAGGAATGAATGAGGAAAATATGGCATTGAGGAAAATAAAAACAGATTTGGTAGAATAAGGAGTGCTGGTTTGCTGTGGGGAGGGTGCCATTTACATAGGGAAGTCAGGAAAAGCTTTATTGTTTGGGGATAGTTAAACAGAAACATGAAACAAGTAAGGGAATGAGTTGTGAATGTCTGGGGGAAGAACAGTTCCTGGTTGTTCTGTTCCTATTATTACCAAAGTGGAGGCCAATTTTTTGGAGAAATTAGGAGAGAAGAGTGTAGATCCTGTAGGATTTTATAGGTCACTTAAAAGACCTTGATATTAATCTGAGTAGGAGGGGAAGCTATCAGAAAGTTAGGGGACAGAAGAGTGATATGATTTCAGTTAGGTTTTTATAAAATCTATAAAAGATGTGTAAGGTGTCCATGTAAGGGGAATAAGGAGAAGCATGGAGAATAATAGAAGCACAGAGACTAGTTAGAAGCCTCTTCTATTAAGACAGGTGTAAGTTGATGGTGACTTGGGTCAGGGTGGTGAGAAGTGGTTGGATTTTGGATATATATTGAAAAGAAATCTGACAGAATTTGCTGGTACTATCTGGGACAGGAAAGAAAGAGAACAGTCCATTTTTTTTATTTTTTGGCTTGAGGAATTGAAAAGATTGACTATTGATGGAGAATATTGTGGAGTAAGTTTGGGTAAGATAAATCAGATGTTTGGTTTGATATGCCAAGTGTGAGATAACCATTGTGTAAAGTATCCAGTTGGAAATATTTGAGTACTCTTCTGGGTATTTGATCCTGGCATTTTGGGAAGAGATTGTGGATAATTACTCAGGAAAGGTTTAAACCTAATGAGTCATAGAGTTTGATGACTTACTTAAAAATGGATAATGATATTTATTATTATCAAGACTTAGAGTGCTTCAAATGTATTAAAAAACAGTGCTTCCTATTCTTTTAATTTTAAGAATTTGACCTATAACAAGAAAAAGGGGCAAAACACTTGATTATAATAGTTTAGGGGATTGTCTTAGTTTTTAGTCCTGTAACAAATCTGAAGAAATAGGAAGGAACATAGGTCAAGAGCTATTTAAAAAATATCAGAAAAATTACTGCTCCTAAATATTGTGTTTTATTTTAAGGATTAGTTATCTCTTTCCCTCTTTTTTTTCTTAATTATCTTAGAAAGTTGTGAAGAAACAGCCTAGATTGGAGTAGAACTAAAAGTACTACATAAAAATTAATGTTATTGATACCTTTTCCATAGTTTATTTTTGAAGTATGAGTGACAGTATTTTTCATTTGTTCATTTAAGCTAAAATTTATTTTTATTTAGGGCATTTGACATTTCATATGCTTTTTTTTCCCCTAGTAACTCAAGAAGAAATTAGTTTTGTGTAATTTGGTGTATTACTAAAGGTGTATGCTTTCTATTTAAACCATAGCTTAGGGATCCCTGGGTGGCGCAGTGGTTTAGCGCCTGCCTTTGGCCCAGGGCTCGATCCTGGAGACCCGGGACCGAATCCCATGTTGGGTTCTCAGTGCATGGAGCCTGCTTATCCCTCTGCCTATGTCTCTGCCTCTCTCTCTCTCTCTCTCTCTCTCTCTCTCTCTCTCCCCCCCCCATGTGACTATCATAAATAAAAAAAAAATAAACCATAGCTTAAAATACATTAAATGAAAGTAACAGTTCTCCTTAACCATTTAAAAAAATTAAGCCCTTCTAGCTGATCATATCTCATTTTAATTGTCCTTCAATTGAATTTGATATGGAGAAACATGAATGAAGGTTAAAAAAGAAACTCAAAAAAAAAAAAAAAGCCCATGTATAAATAACATTAAGAAAAGAACACACTAAAGAAAGCGCTGACTAGGGTACCTTTTTGACCCTCTTTGGTTGACATGTAGCATACCATCTTAGATTATTTCCTCAGGAAAAAAAAAAAAAGATTATTTCCTCAGTAGAAACAAGTTCCCCATCTCATTTTGTAGTTTAGGTTTATTAATTACTATTGTTACTTATATTTAAGGTAATTACGTCTTTTATTTGAGAAGATTATTGTTTGGAGTCTATATTTTATAAGATCTTGGTTTTAATATTGTGTAGTTTTAAAAGATAAACTAGTATTTATGAAAAATCTTTGTTTTGTGATATAAAATTTAAATACTGAAAGTGATGTTTAAATGTATCATCCTGGGTAGCCCTGGTGGCTCAGCAGTTTAGCGCCACCTTCAGCCCAGGGCCTGATCCTGGAGTCCCAGGATCGAGTCCCACGTCAGTCTCCCTGCATGGAGCCTGCTTCTCCCTCTTCCTGTGTCTCTGCCTCTCTCTGTGTCTCTCATGAATAAATAAATAAAATCTTTAAAAAAATGTATCATACTTTGAACATTTTGCTGTTTTTATATTTTATTATAAATTTATTGTTAGGGTAAAGTTTTACTTTTAGTCTGTAAATAGTACTTTGTTATTCTTAGCATAAAGTCTTTAAATTCTGTTGTTATACAGCCAGAATTTAGAAATTCAGGTTGTTTTAGAATGCTAAATTGGAGTACTATAGTAACATCAGCTTTTTTTTCCTTTTGCTAGTATTTTATATAGTTTAAAAACATATTTATGTGCTTATATATTTTTATATTTATAAATTATATGTATTGTATACATTATATTTTTAAATTTTAGAAATTCTCCTTCATAGAATTATATTAGTTACTTTAGCTGTGAGAAAGATGTGACTAAAATTTTTGAAACGTTGACTAAAAACTTTTTTTTTGTAATTGATATCTTTAGATCCAAAAGCAGAAACCAGATTATATATCACAGTCAATGACTTTGAATTTCATGTCTATAATCGTTCGGATCTTTATGGACGTCTTCAAGAATTGTTTGGTTTGGAGCCAACAATAATTCCACCCAAGAAAGAGGATGATAAAACACGAGAAAATGGAAGAACAAGAACCCAGTCCAAAATTGAAAGGTTCATAGTCATACTTGAATTTTATTAATCCTTGACTTTTAACATTTACTTTAATTAAATATCGTCAATGCTACTCACCTAAACACAGCCTAATCTGTAGTTTGACTAAAACTTACATTCACATAAATTATTATATAATTCTTTTAAAAATTCAAATAATAATAATGTAGAAAGAAACAGTCTTGTTCTGCTTACTAGTCCTCCTTTCCTCCGTATTGTTATCTGTTTTTTTTTCCTTTCCAGTGCATTCACATAAATATAGAAACATATATACATAGTTAAGGTACATATACAAATATATAATTTTATTTCATTTGTTTCTGGGCTCTCTATGCTTTTACATTGATCTATGTGTCTGTTTTTTCACTAATACTGCACTACCTTGATTACAATAGTTTTACAGTTAAGTCTTGTAGTCAGTAGTGTCAGTCCTCTAACTTTGCTGTTTTCCCTCAATGGTGTGTTGGGTATTCTGGGTCTTTTGCTTCTCCACATAGACTTTAGAGTCAATTTGTCAATATTCACAAAACAACTTCTTGGGATCACAGTTGGGATTATATTGAATCTATAGAGCAAGTTAGGAAAACTAACGTCTTGATCACATTGAATCTTCCTATCAGTGAATGTGGAATATCGCTCCATTTATTTGATTATTTCATATCTTTCGTCACAGTTTTATAGTTTTCCTTATGCAGATCTTATATATATGTTGTTAAATTTATATTTAAGTATTTCAGTTTTTGTGGTGCTTATGTACATGATATTGTAGTTTTAATTTCAAATTTCACTTATTCATTGCTGGTATATAGGAAAGTGATGGACATTGATATTATTAACTTTGAATCCCACAACCTTGTTATAATCACTTATTGGTTCCAGGAGTTTTTTTGTTAGTTCTTTCAGATTGTCTACACAGATGATTGTGTCATCTGCAAACAAATTCTTTTTTTTTTAATTTTATAAATTAATTTTTATTGGTGTTCAATTTACCAACATACAGAATAACACCCAGTGCTCATCCCGTCAAGTGTACCCCTCAGTGCCCGTCACCCATTCACCCCCACCCCCGCCCTCCTCCCCCTCCACCACCCCTAGTTCATTTCCCAGAGTTAGAAGTCTTTATGTTCTGTCTCCCTTTCTGATATTTCTCACACATTTCTTCTCCCTTCCCTTATATTCTCTTTCACTATTATTCATATTCCCCAAATGAATGAGAACATACACTGTTTGTCCTTCTCCGGTTACTGTGGCCAAGTTCAAAAAGGGTGTTGCCTGAGTTCTCCTCTGGGATTTTGATGGAATCTTGTCTCACATTTAGATCTTTCATCTATTTTGAGTTTATCTTTGTGTATGGTGCAAGAGAGTGGTCCAGTTTCATTCTTCTGCATGGGGATGTCCAATTTTTGCAAACAAATTCTTATTTCTTCCTTTCCCACCTCAATCCACTCCAGCCTCAGTAAACAACTTCTCTGTTGTTTATGATGTTTCTTCTCTATGGAGGACTCTTCATCTTCTTTGCCTAACTCATTCACCCTTCAGGTGTCCCTGATCCTTCTGTGTGTGCTCACAGAATTCTATTTTTTTCTTTTTTTTAATAATAAATTTATTTTTTATTGGTGTTCAATTTGCCAACATACAGAATAACACCCAGTGCTCATCCCGTCAAGTGCCCCCCTCAGTGCCCGTCACCCATTTACCCCCACCCCCCCTCCCCTTCCACCACCCCTAGTTCATTTCCCAGAGTTAGGAGTCTTCATGTTCTGTCTCCCTTTCTGATATTTCCTACCCATTTCTTCTCCCTTCCCTTCTATTCCTTTTCACTATTATTTATATTCCCCAAATGAATGAGGTAACACTCCTTGCACTAAAATTGCCTATTAACTATTCTTACTCCCATTCTAGACTATAAATTCCCTCAAAACAGAACGGTTGTCGTAGTCTCGGTATCCCTGGTCTCTTAGCTCAGTGCCTGGGACATAATATCCATGAAATATTTAATTGGGAATAAATGTCCTCATCATCTGCTTGAAAAACTATTAGGTATACAAGGCTAGCTCAACATTCAAAAATCAGTTCACAGGCTAAAAATGAAAAAAATCAAATGATCGTATCAATAGATGAAGGAAAAAGTAACAAAATCCAACACTCATTCATGATTAAGATCTCAGAGTAAACTAGGAATAAAGGAGAACTTTGATTTAATAAAGAATATCTACAGAAATTCTACAGTTAACAATACACTTACTGGTGAGAAACTAGAAGCTTTCCCATTAAGATCAGGTACAAAGCAAAAATGTCCCCCTCCTTTTCACCTTTGTGCTTGAAGTACTACCTATTGCAATAAGACGAAAGGAAATAAAAGTTATACACACTGAGAAGGAAGAAAGATGTTGTGACAGCCCAAGGAAGAGATGATCATCAATTGGGTTGGTAACAAAGAGAAGGGAGAGAAGTGGATGGGTTACAGGTATATTTAGGCAAATGAATCCATAAGAAGTGATAGATTAGGTGTGGAGAAGTAGTAAGAAGGATGAGGCAATAATGAATCCAGTTTCTAATTTAATTAGTGGTCATGCTCATGGAATCTTCGAGAAAGAGGTTAGAAGGGAGATAGGTTAGTTTCAAATTTAGTTTTAAGCACTGAAGGCTACCTTAGTGGAGATGCCCTCAGAATTGTGATTTAGGAGTTACTGGATTATTGAAGATATATACCTTGAGTTCTCATCTGAAATCTTTAGTGATTGATTTGCTGTGAAATTTTCATATCTTAAATTTTGTATACTTTGTGTATGGCCTGTTTCTTTTTTCTTACTCTTGACTTCTCATTTTCATTTTATTGAGAGGAAATTTTGTCACAAAGTGTCACAAAGTGATGGAGATGGGAAGGGAAAGGATCAGCTGAGTTGTCAAAAGTGCTTAGAACAGTAGAAAATATCAAAGCGACTTGTTCCTTGGTCATTTGTTGTTTTATTAGTGTAGGTTGTCTTAAGAAATATCACATTGTAATGAGTATAATGGTGGATATAATGACAACATACCATAATTTATACTTTTGTCATTAAAACTTATTATCACTCAGACAACATTGTTTCATTATTATTCTTTGCCAGTCCAAAAATGATATATGACAGAGTGCATTCCAAGAGGTAATTGAGAGGTATTAGTATTCTGTCAGATGCTGTCTTTATTTTGTTTACTGGAGCAATCATTAGATGCATTTGGAAAGTTACAGCTGGTAACTTTGTGGAGAAGTCAGCTACTTAGGTTTTTCTTATGTATATCTATTTTTCTTTTTCTTTTTCTCAGGGTTAAAGTAAAAACAGAATCTCAAGACCCCACATCTTCATGGAGATCACTTATTCCAGTCATAAAGGTCAATGTGAGCACAGTAAGTAAATTTCGCTACAATTAATATTTTGTGGGTTAATAATGGAAACCCCTATATTTGCAAATAAAATTTTCACTTAAGAAAAGAAAGTAATTTTATAGAGTTGTTTTGGTTCCAAAGTTCATAAAAGTGTGAAAGAATTATTTCAACACCAATACCATCTTAGCACAAATTTATTAGGTCTTAAGGGTTTTTTATTCACAAGTACTTAGATTTCTTTAAACACTGGCCTAAATTGATCAGTGAAATAATTTGAATAGTATATAGTGCTAAAGTGGAATTATTTAGTTGTTGCTTGAAAATGTTTGTTATGAGATCAACTAAGGAAAAATATATGGTCTCTATATTGTGACATAATTTCTCTTATCTATTTTTTAGGGACGTTTGGCCTTTGGAAATCATTACCAACCTCAAACTCTATGTATCAACTTTGATGATGCTTTCTTAACTTATACTACAAAACCACCTTCTAGTCATCTTGACCAATTCATGCATATTGTGAAAGGGAAGCTTGAAAATGTTCGAGTCATGCTAGTTCCTAGTCCAAGATACGTTGGTCTTCAAAATGATGAGTAAGAAAGTTTTATAAAAATAACATAATTTCTTTATATCTAACATAGATATCAATTAGAATCCTTTTTTTTTTTTTGCTCTAAGTTGGGCAATAATTGGGTATATTTCTGTATTAAATAAGTTAACAGTATAGTCTTACTTTATAAGATAAATGGATATCTATTGATGAACTCTAATTTTAAATATTTTCCTATAACATTATAACTATAATTTTTCTATCCTTTTCACCTTTTCACTATACTTGAGAAACTTATTTTGGACAATTGAAACTTATTTCTGATGTTTGTAGCTCAGAAAATATACATTACAGGTAGATTTTTATTTACATAAGGGATTAGTTATTAATACAAGTGTAGTATCGTGAATACCATTTTGAGTTCATGAAAACTTGAAAATTGAGTCTAAATTACTCTTGGAAAACTGGTGAAGTTAGCATGATACAGTTTTAGAACTGTCCCAGCTTTTATCTTTGTGTGCAGGCAGTAAAAAGTTTATGAGTTTATAAGAAGCAGGTTTATTCCTTCTTAGTTCCACCTTTTGGCTACCTTGCTTATTAGATTTCCTGGGGATTGCTTAGAATGATAGAGAAGTTTTCCCTACTTGAGTACCAGGGATACTGAGTTTACTTCATCTCATTCTTCATAATCACAAACTTTGGTAAGCATTTTGTAGAATGTGGGCTGTGCACACAGTTCTGTATATTATGGGTAAAAGTTATAACACCGAATAAATCTGGACTATGTGAAATTTACTGGAGTAAGATAAAAAAGTGTTTTATTAATTTTTGTAAAAAAAATGTGAAATTGTATTTTTTACCCTTCAAAAGTAAGTATGGAAATTAAATGATATTAAATATTAATGTTTGTCATTTAATACATATTTAGAAGATTGCTAATTTATATATATTATCTAATGATTGAGAAGTCAATTTTAATATGGAAGGAAGATGTATGTGAATGATAAAAAGTTGTTGAATCAAAGCAAGTAAAGTTTGTGGGAAAGTGATTGTAGAGAAACATTCATTCCAGAATTTTTTCAAATTGATCAACTAGATATTCTTGAGAACAGATAAGATAAAGATAATATACAGTTCTTAAAAATAAAAATGACAGCATTTTACAGATATATAAAATATTTCCTATTCAACTGTAAAGTATTATTAATATTAAAATGGTTGAATTTTAAGTTCTTGTTATAAATATAGAATATAATTATTCCAATGATCATTATTCTTCCATTGTATTTAATTAAAGTTTGATTTAAATTGATCCCTATCATTTAAAACTTAAAATGAAAAATGTAAAGCAGATTTTCTTTTTTCATTTTGAAACTAATATATTAACTAAAATTTTTTCAGTACCATTTTATTATTTAGTCTAATATAGAATACAAATATGCAAAACTTAATTGTGTAAAAGATGTTTGTTTTCCCTTAATTGTGTAAAAGATGTTTGTTTTCCCTTTTCAATATACTACACTTGATTGCTCTTTAGGTTTTTTTTTCTCTTTTTGTTTTCAACTATTACTACCATAATTAGAATACAGAACATTTTCTATTCTGGAGATACTTAGTTTGCCTTCCCCCTTCCTTCTTATAGGCCACCAAGATTAATGGGAGAAGGGTTTGTGGTGATGCAATCAAATGATGTTGACATCTACTACTACATGGATGAGCCAGGTATTAATCTATGAAAGTATGTTTCATAGCTAAGCTTCTGTTTCCTCTATGAAATATTTATATTTAAAAATATTTTAAGTCTCCCTAGCTAGAATAAAATAAACATCAATAAATGGTAAATATGGATGGAAGAGTGCCTACCTAAAAAATGTCTGTGTCATTTATCAAAAATTTTAATTGAAAATTGAAATTCAGACCAAAGGAACAGTATAGGAATCTTTTATTCAATTATATTTTCAGAAGTGTACCTCAAAAATTGTGAATGCAAGTGATCTTGTGTGAAAACCTTTAGAGAATGTGATGACAGTTAAGGTAGTTCATACTAGCTTGAGAGAAAAAAAAATCGTAGTATATTAGATTTGAGACTTGAAGTTTAAGGATTGAAATGTAGCTGGTTACAGTGCTTTACAGGTGGCTTGAATTTTATAAAAGTAGCCAAACCCTGGATTTTTAGCCCTTTTTTTCCTACTTTTTATGCCTTTATGGGGTTTATGAGGTCAGAGTATTTTCAGAGGAAAAGTAGGATGTTAGTTGCCTCTTTCACCATATTGACATCTGCACTGCTGGTACAAAAGCGATGGTGGGTGAAAGTGTTGGTGTATTAGCATGAATTAAGGCAGTAGTTCCAAACCAAACTAGTAATCACTGTCTTGTTCACTGCCACACATTTACAGTAAAACAAATACCAGTATTACTTTAAAAAACCTTGGTTAAGCAGTAAAAATTATTTTTATCAAGTCTTGACCCTTGAATAAACTTTTAAATATTCAGTATGATAAAATGGCAAGTACATATAATATACTTCTGCTACATTCCAGAGTATACTGATCTTTGGAGGAGCACTTGTGTAGTTGAGTTCCCACCTGAATTATTTGCTCTTCATGAATCACCCGTTTTACTTGAAGGAGCAACTAGAGACAAACTATGATTTTGAGTTTTCACATGAAAATCAGAATTTTGGAAAATTTGGGTCTGCTACTGTGAGCTTAAGGACTTTTCTGATAAGACTAGTGTTATTAACAAATGTGATTTTAAAAATGTTTAATAATGAAATTTGTCAGTATTTGGAAAACATACGCATGTCTCTGTGAGTCAGTATTTTCCAAATGCATGATGTTAAAAGTTATGCCATGGGTAAAAGATATATTCAAAGTAGAAGATTAGTAAGTTTTAATGTATCAGGGTATGAAAAATTCAGTGATAGGGTTTCCAAGATTCCACATTGCAAATAACTTTTAAGAAACTACCACTTGTTCAATTTTGGTATAGTGTCAGAGAAGAATATCCAAAATTATCTGAAAAAGCTATTAAGATACTCCTCCCTTTTCTGTATACCTATTTGTTTGAGTTTAGGTTTTCCTCAGATCCTTGAACAATAGATTAAATGCAGAAGCAGCTTTGAGAATTTGCTTTTTTTCTACTAAGCTGAACATTAAAGAGATTTGCCAAAATGAAAACAATGCCAATACTTATTTCTAAAATGAATTTGCTCAATAAATAATGTTATTTTTCATTAAGAAGTATTTTCTTTAAAAATGGAATTAAAAAAATAAAATAAAAATGGAATTAAGGGCTCTTGGGTAGCTCAGCAGTTGAGCATCTGCTTTGGCTCAGGGCATGATCGCCAGGCCCAGGGATCTAGGCCCACATCAGGCTCCCTGGGGGAGCCTGCTTCTCTCTTTCTCTATGTCTTTGCCTCTTTGTGTCTCTCATGAATAAATAAATAAAATCTTTGGAAAAAAATAAGTACAAATGGAATTAAAACTTCATTTAATTTTTATAAAATAGTTTTCATATCATATTTGCATTAAATTTTATTAAATGAAATATAATGAGTTCATTATTATTAAACATTTCATTGTGTCAACATGCAACGAGTTCTTCGTTACTTTAAAAATAAAATATAAAAAAATTGCTGTTCCAATTTTGAATACAGTAAATTATGGTAGAGATAATACCAAAAATTCCCACTGTGTATCCTCAGTAATTTTTCAGAGTGTAAAGAGTTACCAGGAGCAAAACATTTTTAGAACTGACCTAGAAATCTTTAGACAGTAATTATAAGTAATTGACTTTGTATTGTATATTCTGTAATATAGGACTTGTTCCAGAAGAAACAGAAGAAAATATTGAAGGAGAAATGAGCAGTGAGGATTGCAAATTACAAGATTTGCCTCCATGTTGGGGACTGGATATTGTTTGTGGTAAAGGAACAGACTTTAATTATGGGCCATGGGCCGATAGGCAAAGGTACTTGAGTAAATTCTATTTCTAAAGTCTTTAAGTCTGTCTTTAACTGTATTAAGATATGCTATAAATTTTATTAAAAAGTAGCTTAATATTTTTATAAGCTATTTTATTATGACAGGGTAAGCATTTTAATTCAAATTATAACTTTTTGGTAGAGAAATCAGCATAAACAAGTTCACTCTGAAGGAGGAGCTAATTTGTTAGAAAAATGATGAGTGAAGAGCATAGTTATTGGTTCCTTTGTTTTTTCTTTTGTATTTAATTAATGAATTTGCCAGGGATTATTGGGCTGTAAAGATTCAGATAAAAGACATATAGTTCAGTTTTAGTGAGGAAAAAGAAACAGAAGAGTTTTGTGAAGGGCTGTAGTAAAGGAAGTAAAAAGTCTTAATGAAGAAATTAGAAAGGTACTGTACTAGTTTGCTAAGACTGTCCTAACTAAGTAGTTTAAACAACAGAAATTTGTCATGGTTCTGGAGGTTAGAATTCTGAGATCAAGGTGTTGGTAGGATTGGTCCCTTCTGATGGCTGTCAGAGTAGGTTGTGTTCAAGGCTTCTCTCTTGTTTGGAGATGGCCATCTTCTTACTAGTCTTCCCATGGTCTTCCCTTCTGTGTGTCTAGTAGGCCTCTGTGTTCACGTTTCCTTGTCTTAGAAGAACTCCAGTCATCTTGGAGTAGGATTCACCCTAACAACCACTTTTTAACTTCATTATCTTTCTAAAAATTCTATTTCCAAATAGCAAATTCTCAGATACTTGAGGTTAGTACTTCAATATGTGAATTTTTAGGGGGACACAGTTCTTCCCATAACAAGTGTAAAAGTCATCAGAGAAGACTTAGGAAGGCTTTCTAGTAGAGGTAACATGTGAGTTGAATTTTGAAACCTAAGTAGGAGTTAGTTAGCCAACAAAAGAAGAGGAGGACAAATAATTGAGACAAAGGAAGAGTTCTGCAAATTCATGATGACAATGGAGGTTGTTAGGAGATTTATAGGTAGTTAAGAAACATTTTATCCTGGAGGTCATGGACAGTGTCTGAAAGGTTTTTAAAATTTTTTAGTCATTCTATTAATTTTGGAGTAATTCTTATTTTAATATATTCTGACCATATTTCTATTTATTGAAGAATTTAAGCACAGACAGGGACATTTACCACTGGTTATGAGGGAACATCTAAATTTTTATGTAAATAGACATTGCCTAAGTTAGTTTTTCTGTTCATAAACTAGCTTAAATGGAGAAATACAAACCAAATCATTCACCAAAGCAGATCATATTGGGCTGTTGATTGATGAAGAGTGCTAATACTGACTTGATATGATGACTTTTTATTCTTGTTTTTTTTTAATCTTTTTTTTTATTTTTATAAATTTATTTTTTATTGGTGTTCAATTTGCCAACATATGGAATAACACCCAGTGCTCATCCCATCAAGTGCCCACCTCAGTGCCTGTCACCCAGTCACCCCTCCCCCCCGCCCACCTCCCCTTCTACCACCCCTAGTTCGTTTCCCAGAGTTAGGAGTCTTTCATGTTCTATCTCCCTTTCTGATATTTCTTGTTTTAAAAAATGTTTTCTACCTAGCATTGTTTGAAGAATTATCTACTTTGTTAAGTAGTATGTTCTATTAAATTTGGTATCTCTAGTATTTAGGAATACCTGCCCCATCAAATGTAACTGTTTAGCAATTGTATGATAAGTTTGTTATTTGAAAACTTGCAATATGCTAATACAATATTTGTTGAGTTCTAGTTATGTTATTTATTAGACTTGAAAATGAACAGCTTAAAATTTCAGGTTAGGAGACAAATGCTTTTCAAATTACTGGTTAAATTTTCATTTTTAGATAAAATTTGAGATAAAAGTTTCCCCATATTAAACTATTCTTTATTTACTGTGGAATAGTTGAAAATGAGGGGTTTTACATCCCATTCACTAAGTTACATTTATACCTTATTATATTTAAAAGGAAAAAATTAAAACAATGCTTTAACACAGACACATAAAATATTTTTGCATTTCTAAAATTTGAATCGTGTGATTATTCTTAAACTGTATTTAATTTTGTTACATTAAAAAATATTAGGGTATATTTACATGAAAGTCCAAACTAAAATTCTTTTACTCTACAGCCATATTCACTTCTAAAGTGATCTTTGTATTCAGTAGATCCTGCCACTGCCAGGAGAAAACAGCAATACCTTTCTCAACCTGGACTTACCAAACCATTCATTCAGATTTATTAAAAAAAAAAAAAAAAAAAAAGGAAGAAAAGAAAAATTTATTTTCCCATGGGATTAGTTTACTAACAATACTTCACTCTTCACTTACATATACATTTCCTCTTTTGTAGCCATTTCCTTTTCTTCTTCCCCATTTTGAGTGTTTACGCAAATATGAATTATAACTAGAAATGAATAGTAAGGTCAATTTTCTTAGCATCCACTAAGATGTAAGAAATTTCGGAAGAGGGGCAGCCCAGGTGGCTCAGTGGTTTAGTGCCGCCTTCAGCTCAGGGCCTGATCCTGGAGACCCCGGATCGAGTCCCACATCAGTCTCCCTGCATGGAGCCTGCTTCTCCTTCTGTCTGTGTCTCTGCCTGCCCCCCCCCCCTTGTGTCTCGCATGAATAAATAAATAAAATCTGTAAAAAAAAAAAAAGAAATTTCAGAAGAAATATCAACTGTTTGCTATTGGATAATTCAGTTTTATAAAGAGATTTTGATCTCTGATGTAGAATGACTTGTTAGCTTGTAGATTTTGATTTCATTCTACCACTTTTATGTAATTTTTCTGAATCTTTAAGGTATTCAGCTTTTCCTACATGGTATTTTCTTTCTGGACTCTTGGTTTTAGCTCAGGTCATGATCTCATGGGCTGTAAGATTGAGCTCCACATTGGGTTTCATGCTCAGCAAGAGAGTCTGCTTGAAAATTCTCTCCCCCTGGTCCTCCCCACTCTTGTGGGGATGTATGTATGTACATGCCTGTGCACGCTTTCTATCAAGTAAATAAATCTTAAAAAGATACTAAAAGCTTGCTGATCTTTGGAAGTATAAAATATTGGAGAAAAGAGTCTTGTTTTACTGAAAGGAAATTAGGTGTTATTTTGTGACTTAATCTTTTTTCTATTTCATGTCCAATTGTTAAATGAGATAGCAGTGATAATGCAAAGTTAGAATACTGATTTTGCTCCCGTATAGATGTAATTTTGTTTGAATAACAAGTTATTCTTTTTACCTCCTTATATAGAGATTGTTTATGGAAGTTTTTCTTCCCACCTGATTATCAAGTTCTGAAAGTTTCTGAAATTGCACAGCCTGGGAGACCACGACAGATCCTTGCTTTTGAACTACGAATGAATATTATTGCAGATGCTACAATTGATTTGCTGTTTACCAAAAACAGGGTAATTATTGAACTAATATAGTAGAAAATAGTGTTTAAAATTTGACCATTATCTTCTAGAGTGTTTTTCTGGTGATTTAGATTCATTTCTGTGAGCTTCCCACCACCCTCCCTCTGTAATAATTGTACATATGTTGTTTTCATTAAGTGCCAAAAGTAGAAAAAGTTAATAATAAACCTTAATTCTATAGTCTGGTTCTTTTTCTCCTTTATATTTAGCTAAATTGTTTTAATGTATTTTTAGTAAAACTTTGAACTTTTGTTCTTAGAAACTTTTAATACCTATTAAAAGTATCATTGATGATTTTATTTTGTCTGTGATAACTGAAAAATAAAGATGGGAGTATGATTAAGTAGTGAGAAAATAATTGTTTTATATGGTTTAATTTTTTTCTTTTGATAGGAAACAAATGCTGTGCATGTAAATGTAGGAGCTGGCTCATATTTAGAAATTAATATTCCAATGACAGTTGAGGAAAATGGTAAGCTGTAATGAGTATTTTTCTATTTTAAATGATAAATAGGGGAATAATTGACACATAAAAAATAGTTTGTTAGCCCACTTAAACTAACATTAGTGGGGTTTTCTTTTTCAGCTTTCTATTATATTTACTTAACAGTACATATTACATAATTTAATTATTTGTGCACCTAGAAAGAAGGGAAAAAATTTTAAATCAAGTTAGGTCTAATGCTTCATTATACCCTAATACTTCTTTTATAAGACTGAGCGTAATTTGTTTAAAATGTATTTTTCCTAGTAGTCAATAGCTCTGTAAGAGCAGGTGCTGTGTGTGTGTTTTAAACTGATGTAAACTTGGTACTGAACCCAGTACTTGGCATATGGTATATGGACAGTATGAGATAGAATGACTGACTGGTTTTGTTTTAGGTTATATTGTTAATAGATTTTTGTCAAAGTAAGCCTGATCCTTTGAAAAATACAACTTTAAGAAAGCAGAACATTCTATATTTAAAATATTAAATAATACTCTGATTGCTATCGCTTCATCTGAGCTAATCTAAATTCATTATGCATTTAAAATTTGGACTCTGAAACAAGTTAATCAATAATGTGATTAAATACATTTTATTGGGCAGCCTGGGTGGCTCAGCGGTTTGGCGCTGCCTTCGGCCCAGGGCGTGATCCTGGAGACCCAGGATCGAGTCCCAAGTTGGGCTCCCTGCATGGAGCCTGCTTCTCCCTCTGCCCGTGTCTCTGCCTTTCTCTCTCCCTCTCTCTCTCTGTGTCTCTCATGAATAAATAAACAAAATCTTTAAAAAAAATACATTTTGTTAAGTTTATCAAAATATAGCCTTCTTCTTTATTCCTTCTTCTTAGCCTGTTATTATATTTGTAATTGAGAGCAATTAAAATGAAATTCTGCTTTACTTATTCACTTCCTTGAGAGTACAGAGAATAGCAACTTACCCGTATTTTTGTCACTAACCAATAATATAAGTATGGCTAAGTATAATTAGGGTAATTCTTATATCACTCTTCACTCTCTATTTATTTCTGTCACATTTTTTGCTGCTGGTATAAGAAGGCAGGTTGACTATATTCATCAGCTTGTATAAAAAAGTAGCGATTGGGTCTCCCTACTTAGATAATCCATTGTGAGGCAGTAACAGCATGGCATAGTGTATCTTTTCCCTGTAACTTTGAGGCTCTTTTGATGAAGGTTAAACCTCACCTTAGCTGGTTTTAAAAGAGTGGTAAATCAGAGTATTGAAGCAGATGCTTGAGATTGTCTAGGACTTGTTGATGCAGAGTAGTGAGTTGGAAAGAAATCTTTTAGGGAAACCTTAATTACAGATACATAGTAGGAGGAAAAAGATAGTTGAGGGTTGTGCAAAATTGAGAATGATTCAGTTAAGGAAGTGCCTCTACTATTTTAAAACTGAAATTGCACACAAGGAGACATTTGTACACTTTTTTTTGGTACAATTATTGGTACACTGGAGTAAGGAAGCCCCTGAGGGCTGAGGGAATCAGTATCTCAAGAATACTTATTATGAATTAATGGGAAGTGCCATAGCACACTGATTGTGGCGCTCTTAATGAGTTATGGGTCTGAAGAAAGCCCACAATCAGGTTCTTGGTAAAGATTAGGTGGCTTTTAAGATAACTATCTGAGGGGATAAATAGACTTAGGCCTTAGACATTAACAAAATATGATTAAAATACATTTAAAACTTTTTTCAGAGATTCAGCTGTTTGAAAAAAATGCCCAGAGCAGGATGCACGTTGTACTAACCATATAATAGTGACCATAGCATTAGTGTTCATAGAAGGGCAGCCCTTCAAGAAAAGAAGTGAAATACTCTGCACTTTTCTGATTTTGTTCAGAATGTAGCTATGTCATTTGCTAACTGTCATTAATTACAGAAGGAATAGCTGTTGCTTAGAAACTCATTAATAAGGAACAGTTGAAAATGATGAAAATAAGTTCCCTTGAGTTAGTGGAAGACGAAAGGACATGGGAGCTGTCTTTAATCGTTGAAAACTGTCATTTAGCGGGTAGACTTACAGTTTTGCACTGGAAAGCAAAATCAGGAGGACATTCTATGAAGGTGGAACTTTCTTTCTTCAAGAAGTCTGTCCAAAGAGCTGTCCAAAATGAGAAAGGTCACCTGTTATGACCAAGCTCCTCGTCACTGGGATGTTTTTATATAGTGTCTCATCACCGTTTTTCAGGGATTCCTTCTTTGGGTGGTGATGGGAGATGTTTCCAGTACAAAATTTTTAATCATACTTATATTTTTAAAGTTCTTAATTTTTATTTTTTCACTTACTAGGTTATACTCCTGCAATTAAAGGACAGCTCTTGCATGTTGATGCCACCACGAGCATGCAATACCGGACTCTTTTAGAAGCAGAAATGTTAGCAGTAAGTTTAAATGATGATATTTTATATATATATATATATTTTTTTTTACATAAAATCTGAATTTGGTTTTAGTTTTTTAATATAAAATTTTTATGACCAGAAGTCATTAAGTGGTTAATCTCATTCAAGAACTACCAGGTGCTCTTGGCCTTATTTTTGTGAAGGAGAGTAGATTCCCAGTGCTGTGGACTCTGGCATCTCTCTTTTGCTCTACTTCTGGTTATGGGCAGAAGGTAATGCTAATGTGGTTTTTAGTCTTTGAAAATGTGAATATTATTTTTAAATTTCATTTTATGACTAGACTAACTCCCATGTTGTAAAAAAGATAATTTTTCACTATGTTTCTGACCCCATTGGATTCTTTCTCATGGCTTAATAAGTCATTTTGTTTTTTACTTAATGAATGAAGTAAAAAGAAGAAAATCTTACTGATACTGCAGATTGCTCCATATTAGAAAAAAAATAGAAATGCTTATGATTAAAATTGCACAGTGGGGACACATTTCATTAATCAGGCAAATTATTCCTTATTAGGGAAGACAACAATAACAATAATAACAAAAGCCACTATGTAAAATGGCTGATACTCAGAAAAGATTCTTTTATAAGCTGGTGTCATTAGATCCTTAATTGTCTAAAAAAAAGTATATTTATACATGATATATATGTAAATTTAGAGGAAAAATTTGAAATTACCAAGAATATATTAGATACTATAAATATATATTAAACTGGCATATTCAGCATTTTAATGAATTCCTGAGCTATTGCTGATAAATGGTGCTGTGCAATAATGCTGTTCCTGGTCAGGAATCTCTTCCCTTTAGCAGAAACTTTGGAAGATGAAATACATAATAAAGCACCTAAAATACATGATAAAGCACTACTACCAAACTGCAAAATGGGAACCTGGAAAGCACTGGAGGCCAAACCCAGAGCTTCTCATGTAATAGATTAGGCTTAAGGATGAATTGTGACATTGGTTGTTACTCTGGTAACAACAGTTTAGCTAGACTACAGTATCAAAATCATAGCCTGATTTGTTGTTCTTAAGTTTTTCTGGACACATCATGGCGCTGAATGTAACCATGGATACTGACCTTTAGCCACAGCAATATTAAAATCTCAAAGGGACCTTCTGTTCAGCTCAGCAGGAAAATAAGTTTTAATTACTCCACTGGTGTGTGTGTGTGTGTGTGAATTTATTTCTATGCTCTTCACACAATGTCACATTTTAAGCTCTAACATTTTTACTTAACATTTCATTTGCAGTTCCACATCAATGCCAGTTATCCCCGAATATGGAACATGCCACAGACTTGGCAGTGTGAATTAGAGGTTTATAAAGCTACCTACCACTTCATCTTTGCACAGAAGAACTTCTTTACTGGTAATTTTTTAATAAATGTAAATACAGTGAGATTTATCACAGTGAACTTGTTTACATTCAGTAAATTTTGCTTTTAGATTTAACATAGGGATTTGATGATACAGTTCATATATTTTTTTAAACTTCTTTTTTGGGCTAAGAATATAAAACAGAAAATTTAAATACAGATATTTTGTGTTCTCTTTTACCACAAACAAAGAAAATGTCAACCCAGAATTGGGCTTACAAAAAAATGAAAGAACTCGTCGTAGACTGGTGCTTTATGTCCATCTAGTGGGGGTAATTTAGGGAGGATGAACCAATTTCTTTCTTTTCCTGAATTAGGCATCAACATGGCTTCATTATATTGTTTCAATTATTGTCATTCACAAATAGTATATTCAAATAGTCAAATATTTTATTTTTTTACTTTTTTGAAGTATAGTTGACACATTACATTAGTTTTGGTTGTACAACATAGTGATTCAACAACTCTTATCTATTATGCTGTGCTCACCACAAGTCTAGCTACTGTCTGTCAGCATACAATGATATTACAATACCATTGACTATATTTCCTATGCCATGCCTTTTATTCCAGTGACTTACTCTTTCCATAGCTGGAAGCCTGTACCTTCCACTTCCTCTTACCTATTTTCCTCATCTCTTTACCCTCCTCCCCTCTGGTAATCATCAGTTTATTTTCTTTGTTTGTGCTCTTTGTTCTGTTTGTTAGATTCCAGATGTAGATGAAATGTTGTTGTTGCAAATGGCAAAATTTTATTTTTTATAGCTGCTTAATATTCCTCTGTGTGTGTGTGTACATGTGTATGTACACATACACACACACCACATCTTCTTTATTCATCTATTGTGGACACTTAGTTTACTTCCATATCTTGACTATTGTAAGTAATTCTGCAATAAACATAGGGATGCATGCATTTTTTTGAATTAGTGTTTTCATTTTCTTTGGGTAAATACTCAGTAGTGGAATTACTGGATCATTCGGTATTTCTGTTTTCCCCACTGTCTGTACCAATTTACATTTGCACCAACAGTGTACAAGGGTATGTTATTTTTGTATTTGGAGCTCCTACTTACTCTTTTATATTTGCATGGATATTGATTTGATGTTATCATTAATTGGAAAAAAATTCCTTTATTTCTTGAAGCATATTATGATAGCTACTCATATTTTATGGGTTTAGGAACATGTGGTTTTGGTCTCTAACATAAATAATACTACACAAAAATAAGTTGTATCTATAGAACTTTCCCATAAAGTTTAGCTAAAGGGAGTTGATCTGATTTGCCAGGGTCAGTGGCTACCCCAGAGCACCTAATATTTGCTTTACAGATTGCTACATTTATCCATCCATCCATCTATCCATTCATGCATCTGTCCCTATGTCCACCAGTCATTTATAGGCTTCTGATCTGTGCTGAGTACTATTAGATATTTGGGAATATAGTAGTAGTCAGGTGTTCATAGATAGTTATGCCCTCACATTATTTACTAGCAATATGATGTTGGCCAAATTATCTAATTATTTTGCCTCTGTTTCCTTATCTGTGAAATAGAGATAATAATTGATACCCTAATTTTGCTATTGTTAGAGTTTGGGTATTTTATAATGCCATTATTACAAAATGTTCAATTTTAAGTCTTTTATATTTTTTCCTGGTTTGTTTGGGAACTTTATCATGGGGACTAGATAGAAAGCTTCTGTGTTCTTGGAGATATATAATTCTTCAAGGATCAAGTCAGGGGTCCCGGTAGTAGAGGATATAACAGAACCCCAGGCAACTTAAACTTTTGTCAGTAAAGCTGAACATTGAATAAGTACTGCTCAATTCAGATTTATTTAAAAAAAAACTAATTCTTATAGTGTGTATTATGTGTTTGTCTCTGTTCTAAGCAATTTGCACATATTGAATTGTTGAATTCTTATAATTCCTGAGATCGATATTATTGTTATCCTTGTTTTACAGATGAGGAAAGTAAGTTACAGAGTGGTCAAGCAGTTTGTCCAGGGTCACACAACTAGTAAGTCTGTCGAGCTAGTGTTCCAACCCAAGTCATCTGGCTCGAGAATCTGTTTACATATAGTTTCTTCAGCAGTAGCAGTTTTCCTCTCACTTAAAATTTTGCAGTTTTAACTTTGCTAACCTTTTAAAATAGGTTTCTGTTTTCAAGCCTTAATCCTTCACATTGTTTTTACTCCAGACTTTTCACATTCTTAGACTTTGATAAGTCTGAGTGCTAAGAATAGTTGGAGTAGATAATTCCTCAAGATTTAAATTTTTAATTTTGTGGTAACACTTTCATTTAGGCTGACCATTGTGTTAGTCACTTTCAAACAACCAACTAAGCATTTCCCAAGTTACAATCATGTTTTCCCTAAGTCTTTTTTTCTAAATTATTTTCTTTATTTCTAATCTGTAAGTTTATACATATTGCAATTCACTGTTTTGGTTATATTTTTCTAAAATTTATTTGGAGAAATTTAAAGAAAATAGGTAAAAAACTTAAAGTTCTCATATTCCAGAGTTTACATCTGTAACTTTTATTCATATTTCTTCTATTGCTTTTTAGAATCCTTTAAAAACTTATTTATTCTTTAAAAAGGATAATTATCAGAGAGTAATATGTTTAGCCTAGGAGTGAACGAACTTGGTTATAGTGTTTGAATTGCTGTTTTCTTTTCTCAGTTTTATATTTTTCTAATGACAGAATTCTGCAGAAAACAAATGATCTAATTTGATCTGAGGGAATGCCTAATAATATTCCTCAGTAGCCATTTTTATGCCAGTTATTAAGTGAAGTTCTTAAGAGATTTTAGTGTGGGGCAAAGACAGCTTTATGATAAATATAATAATCTCAGGAATTAAAGATATAAAAAAAGGCATAAATGGAGTCTCTTCTGCTAATATAAAAATTGATTTATATTTACTCTGATGAAGGGGAGAAGACAATGTTAACAACATTGCAAAGCTCCAATACAATTGACTGACATTTTATAGGTATTAGCCTGACAACCTAATTGTAAAGTCAATTGTAGATGATTTTTTTTCCAGATGAATGTTTGGATTACCAACTTAATAACTTTATTAAGTTTTTATTTAAGTTCCAGTTAGTTAACATACAATGTAATATTAGTTTCAGGTGTATAATATAGTGATTCAGCACATCCATACAATACCCAGTGTTCATCACAACTTAATAACTTTAAAAAATTTGTTGTCTAAATAAGTAAGGTAGTCATCAAGAAAATAATTCCTTTTTTAAATTAAATTATTTGATAAGACCATCTGCTAATGAGAGCAGCTTTTGGTTTAAAGAGAAAACAATTAGATATAGTTGTTGAGGCTCGTAAAAATATTTTGCCATATTTTTAAATATTATCAGTAAGGATATTGTATAAGATGGGAAGGAAACTATACTGCAGAATATCTTGAAATTTCATGGAAGAAAAAAAACAATAAGACTTGTTAAAATAATTGGCTAATAACTTTATAAACATATTAGCTTCCTGAGATGATTAATGTATAATTTGAATTTGTGTTTATTTTACTAGCAATTATGTCTCAATCTTTTAACTAGAAGTGTAAAGTAGATAAATGTAATCAATGTAAGTTGAAAGTCTCTTAATAATGAAATTTAAACCATGATCTCAGCCCACGAATAATTTATGGGCATGTCACTTTATGGGCATTTTTTGTTTTGCATTATTTATCAAGTATATTGGCATGTGTACTAGACCTAAACAAATGAAACAATACAAAACATTATATATATGTTGAGTGCTAGCATGAACTGAAACTAACAAATGGGTGTAAGACACGAATACAGAGGAAATTGTTGTGACCTGAAGGTAAACAGAGAAAGTAAGGGAAAGACCATAAGATCTAAAATGGGATATGTAAATGAACTCAGTAATAATAACTGATTATTTGCATAGTATGTCTTCATAGAAATTCTAAAACATGTTCATTTATATTACCTTCATGACTCTGAAAAGAGGTAACTATTATTGCTATCCCTGAGTGAGGAAATTGAAGCAGGGAAACATCCAATGACTTAGGCAGACTCCGTGAGGCTAGTAAGTGGAAGAGATATTTAAGTACTTTTTTTTCTTTGACTGTGGACCCTTTGCTCTCTCTGTAGTATCCTGTTGTTGTTAATGATGGTTAGAGTTTTCTTTTATCAGAGAGGATAGATACCAAAGAGTATAATTATTTTAGATGGGATGAATATTTTGAGTAAAAGTACAGAACTAAAAATGTTGATGAAGAATGAAAGTGATAAAATCAGCTTGACGAATAAATTTATACTGTAGAGTTTGTTAATTCCAGAGATGACTTTTGGGTATCTCTCAATTGCTAGCCATTGTGCTAAAGAATAAAGCTAGCAAGTTGGGATGGAGTCACGTTAGTTAGGTAGGGTGGCAAGTAGAAGTAAAACTTCAGAAGTAAGCATACAGAGTATATAGTATGATAAACCATTCTGATTACTTGTTTAGTGAAATAAAAATACATTTGAAGTAAAATTGTCAAATGAAGTTTTTATAGAACAGGTTAATTTCCATATTCAATTGACTTAAAATTTAATATTAATTTAAATTATTGACATTTGATATGAAATATATTATTTTGCCATTTTATAAGAGAGATTTTTAATGTACACAAGCTTCTGTACATTGCAGCTAAATTTTAAATGATAATAATGAAATCATAATTTCATATGATATTATATAAGATAAATTTGACTTCTGATTTTATTATTGAATATAGTACTTTTCAGTTTAAAGACCTCATTTAAAATCCAAAGAAACTGGGACACCTGGGTGTCTCAGCAGTTGAGTATCTCTGTCTTTGGCTCAGGTCATGATCCTGGGTTCCTGGGAACGATTCCTATATCAGGCTCCCCAGAGGGAGCCTGCTTCCCCTCTGCCTACGTCTCTGCCTCTTTCTGTGTCTCTCATGAATAAATAAATAAAATCTTAAAAAAATAAATCCAAAGAAACTACTTTAAATATTTAATTATTTTTATTGACTATTTTCTTTAGAATATCTTTAATACAAAATGCTTCCATAGAGTACTTACCTTGTAGCAGTTACTATGCTAAAACTTCAAACATACCATCTCAGTTCTCACAGTCTGTGAAGTTGTCCTCATTTTGTAAAAGAGAAAACTGATAGCGTTTACATTAATTAAGATTGCATTGCTAGTAAAATGGTAAAGTCAGAATTTAAACCCGGACTGTCTGCTGTCAAAGTGTGCTATAATACTGCTTCTAATTGTTTCTCTCTCTCTCTCATTTACACAAAGCTCAATTTTATATGCATAGCACCGTGTTATATACAATGAGTATACAGAGATGAACTTGACACCTTTAGGAGGAGACCATGTACTGAAAGATAATGATTGCTGGGAGTATATGCACATAAGCGATGTGAATGCCTGAAGAAAAAGTAAAGCCACTTTTTTAGATTAGTGTTAATGCTTTTATAATAAAGAGTTGTGGCCTATTGAGATTAAAATAAAAAGGTAACAAAGGATAAGCAGACTAAATAAATGAATTGTTTTAAAAAGCAGCACTTAAAACCATGCAAATCAGCAGTACAGCAAATCAGAAATCAGATATTATTGACTGTAAATATTAACAGGGCCAAGTTTGTGTTCACCATTATAGTCTGGCACAGTAGACCCTCTGTAGGTATTTGTTTAATGAGTAAATCAACATGAAAAAATGCTCAACCCTACTTGTAATTAGGAAATTCAACTAAAATAAGTTTTCAATTATCTATTAATTACCAAGCTACAACCTCCCGCTACCTGCAGAGAAAAAGAGAAGGAAAGAGGGAAAGGTGGAAAGAAGTATAATGCAGGAGAGAGTACAATGATAGACAGTCAAGCATAGATTTCCTGTAGAAGTATAAATGATTTCACTATTCTTGGGAAGCAATCCTGTAATTTACAACAGTTTTGAAAAAATTTATAAACTTTGACCTAGCCATTCCACTTCTGGAATCTATACTGACAAAGTATTCCTGAATATCTAAAATATCTTGCATGAAAATATACATAAAATAATATATAACACAAAAATTTGGAATGAGTCTAAATATCCAAAGTTACTAAATGGCTAAGTAAATCAGTCCTGGCAAATGTCTTTAATGAGCTCGGATTAAAGTTTTTGTTAATGTGTATTTGAAATAACATGGAAAAATTTTGAGTTCAATAAGGAAAAAGCAATATATAAAATATGTACATCTAGAATAGTATAAAAATCTACATTAAAAAAAACTAGAAAACTATTGATAATGCTGGATATTTGGGTAGTGGATATTCAGGTGTTTTTTTCTCCTTCCTAAAATTTCTTTAAAACATAATAGGTATATAAAATGCATGAAAAATCTCTTACTTGGAACTGTGATTAGTAGGTAAACACTGGTTTGCTATTAAATCATTTACTTATATCTTAATCATCTTTTAGCATTTCAGTATAAAAGTTCTTTTAGTAGCAAAAGAAAAATTTATTTTTGACTGGTGGTAGAATATTTATATTTTGTTTTCTGGATTGCAATTAATTTTGCTTTCTGTCTCCCACTCACATAATTTTAGATTTAATTCAAGACTGGTCGAGTGATAGTGCTCCAGATATTTTTTCATTTGTGCCATATACATGGAATTTTAAAATCATGTTTCATCAATTTGAAATGATTTGGGCTGCTAATCAACACAATTGGATTGACTGTTCCACTAAACAACAGGAAAATGGTAAGAACTTCTTAAGAATTAAGGTCAAGTATTCTATTCCTTAAGACAAATAACAACAACAGAAATTGACATCGATTTTGTAGCTTTACTAGATACTAGAATTGGTCTTTTTTCCATTGTCTTACAATACTCTCAGAGAACTACTTCAGAGTTTTTATTAGCTAATAATAATAACAATAATAATAAGCATATTATCTTTCATTGTTTTAGTTATGTTTTTAAGGCATTTTTTCTTTAAAGCTTTATTGGAGTTAAAAGTAAATTTTCTCTCTTTTTCTCCCCCTCTTTTTGTAGTGTATCTGGCAGCCTGTGGGGAAACATTAAACATTGATTTCTCTTTGCCTTTTACGGACTTTGTTCCAGCTACGTGTAACACCAAGTTCACTTTAAGAGTATGTATAATTGTGTGCATTCTTTATTCCACAGGTTTATTAGTAAGTTTGATTTCCCAAAGTTTGTATTTACTTTTCCCTGCCTGTTTCTTTGCTATCCTGTGGTATTTTAGCTTTCCACCATTGTTCATGAGCTTCAGTGTCACAGAAATTGCTGTTTCTTTTTTTGTGGTTAACAGTAATGTTCTGTCCTTCCCCTAAGTTCCCTGACTTCCCCTGAGGAGTTAGGCGATAAAAAGAAAATTCCCTGAGTTGATTATTTTCTTAACCACAGCTCATTTCTAACCTTGGTGGCTAACTTACATGTTCTTTTGAAAACCCCTTCTAGCTCTGATGTTTACAGTATATGTATTAGATTTTACACTTTCCTATATTTCATTACTAATTGTAAACATGAATACAGGGGTTAGTCACAAAATACCTCTCTTCCTTTTCTCTGAAAGGGAACTCTAATGAGTTTAAAATTTTGTGGAAAAAAAATTAAATTTTGTGGAACACCTACTTTTAGGGTATGGGCAATCAGAAATAGTTATAGTATCGATGGAGGTTATGGTGTTAAAGAAAATAAGAGCTACTAATAACAAACATTTTCTGTGTGCCAGACACTATTCTAAGTGCTTTACGTGTTTTCACTCATTTCGTTCTCAGAACAATTTGCTTGAGGTAGTTGCATTTATGAAATAGGAAACAGAAACTGAGTTTATGTAATTTGTGGCCAGTGAGTGGCTGACTTGGACTTTGAACCCAAGTGGTATAGGTTAGACCTTCATTCTCTTAACCACTCTTCTATGCTGCTGGTTAAGAAATCTGGCATCACGGCACCCTAATGTGTATAGCAGCATTATCAACAATAACCATTTTATGGCAAGAGCCCAAATGTCCATCAACTGATAAATGGATAAAGAAGTTGTGGTATATATACACACAATGGAATATTACTCAGCCTTCAAAAAGAATGAAATCTTGCTGTTTGCTAGGAAGTTGATGGAGCTACAGTGTATTATCCCATAGAAGATAATTTTTTTACTGTTTTGTGGAGACTATGCTATTTATTTCCTTGATTTTTTCCCCTAATTTTCTAATCAGAAATTAGTTTTAGTCAATGTAAAATATTATTCCAGTTATTTAACTGACTGTTGATCATAAAATCTGCCTTTGAAATTTATGTTCATTTTCTTTTGAATTTATTCTCGATATTATTATACATAACTTTGGCTATAAGTAGAAATCTAACATAGTTATGTACCTGTTTTATTACTGTGGGTAAAGATAAATTCTTTTTTAGGGAGAAGATGTTGATCTTCATTTATTTCTACCAGATTGCCACCCTAGTAAATATTCATTATTTATGCTGGTAAAGAATTGCCATCCAAATAAAATGACTCATGATACTGGTATTCCTGCTGAGTGTCAAAGTGGCCAGAAAACAGTTAAACCAAAATGGCGGAATATTACACAAGAAAAGTAAGTATATAAAACTAGTGATTTAAGTATTTTGTGTTTATATGTGGAGAAAATTCTTCTGATTCTTTCAAACAATAGTGGTAAAAGTTGTGACTGGTATTTGTATACGATTAAAAGAATAAAATACCTGACCAGAACTTTATTTTTTGTTCTTCAAAGATCCGGTTGGGTTGAATGCTGGACTGTACCAAGTGTCATGCTTACAATTGATTATACATGGCATCCAATTTATCCACAAAAAGCAGATGAGCAGCTAAAACAATCATGTAAGTGTTTTTATATAATTTTTATATAATTTGTACTTTGGAACATCTGGTTTTATGATTGATAACTATTAAAAATATAAGAGAAAAAATTTTAAATATGGAAATATATGTTTTCATTTGACATAATTGTATACATTTAAAAATCTTTAAGGATTTTTGGCATAATTATAATTAACTTTCATTGAGCATTTACTATGTTTCAAATACTAGACCAAGCTGTTTACTGGTTTGTATTATCTCACTTAATCCTTACAACTACTCTGAGATAATTGTTATTGTTATAGTAGATTTGAATAAATATGCTCAGAGAAAGTAAATAATTTTTTTCAAGTTCTGCCAGACTAGAATATCAAATAAGATGTAAATATACATTTCTTTCTTTCTTTCTTTCTTTCTTTCTTTCTTTCTTTCTTTCTTTCTTTCTCTTTCTTTTTTTCTTTCTTTCTTTCTTTCTTTCTTTCTTTCTTTCTTTCTTTCTTTCTTTCATCTATCTGTATTTAAAGCACTTGGCTTCATGAAATGTTATTTTTTAATGCATTTTCAAAACTATCATATCATAGCTTCCTTGAAGCTTATGTACCTGTTACCATGATCCAAAATGAAATTAGAGTCAAGTGATATTTTCTTTGTATTTTTCCTGTGAGTTAAGTGTTAAAGAAGAGTTTTCATAATTATTCTTATGTTCAGAGCTTGATAATATCACACTGTATTTGAATAGCTGTTTATGTGAAAACTGCTTTGTACTTTAATGCCCAAGTATAGATAAGCCTGTTTGTCACCTGAATTTATATTCAAAGGACTCAGTAGGAATTATTATTATTAATTCCTATTATTAATAGGAAATGTTCATTGATTCTATGCTATCTGATTTATGTATCTCTACACATATTTCAATAAAGTCTGTTTTATTTCACATTCTTAATTATTAGACTTGCAAGTCTATTTTCATTATGTATTACAGATACTATATCAGAGATAGCTACTTTCATGAAAAATTACAAAATAGAATTTCTTAGTGAAGAGTTCCGTAAAGAACTTCTAAGAAATTCTCTGCCACAAATTTTTTTTCCTTAATTTTTTCCAGTGTCAGAAATGGAAGAAACAATGCTATCTGTATTAAGGCCATCCCAGAAAACATCAGATAGAGTTGTTTCTTCTCCTTCTACTTCTTCACGCCCACCTATTGATCCCTCAGAACTTCCACCTGATAAGCTTCATGTAGAAATGGAACTTTCCCCAGATTCTCAAATAACTCTCTATGGACCGCTATTAAATGCCTTCTTATGTATAAAGGTATGATTTTTAAAAAATCTTACACATTTTTAAAATTTGTTACATTCTATTTTTTAAAATTTTATTTAAATTCAATTAATTAACATATAATGTGTTATTGGTTTTAGGGGTAGAAGTTAGTGATGCATCAGTGAATGTAATACCCAATGTTCATTATATCACATGCCCTCCCTAATGTCTATCACCCAGGTACCCTGCCCCCTCCACCGCCTTCTCCTCCAGCGACCCTCAGTTTGTTTCTATGATTATGAGTCTCTTATGGTTTGTCTCCCTCTATGATTTTGTTTGTTTTATTTTTTTCTACTCTCCTCCTGTGATCCTGTTTTGTTTCTTAAATTCCACATATAAATGAAATCATACGATAATTATCTTTTTCTAATGACATATTTCACTTAGCATAATATCCTCTAGTTCCATCCATGTAATTGCAAATGGCAAGATTTCATTTTTTTGGTGGCTGAGTGGTAGTCCATTGTGTGTGTGTGTGTGTGTCTCTGTGTGTGTATACACCATTACTTTATCCATTTATCTATTGATGGACATTTAGGCTCTTTCCATAGTTTGGCTATTGTGGACATTGCTATAAACATTGGGGTGCAGGTGCTCCTTTGAATCACTACATTTGTATCTTTGGAGTAAGTATTCAGTAGTGCAATTGCTGGGTCATAGGGTAGCTCTATTTTCAACTTTTTGGGGAACCTCCATACTATTTTCCAGAGTGGCTGCACCAACTTGCATTCTTAACAAAAGTGTAAGACACCAACAGTTTTCCCCACATCCTTCCCAACATCTGTCATTTCTTGACTTGTTAATTTTAGCTATTAATTCTGACTAGTGTGAGGTGGTATCTTATTGTGGTTTTGTTTTTTATTTCCCTCATACCAAGTGATATTGAGCATTTTTTCATGTGTCTGTTTGTTAGCTATTTGTATGTCTTCTTTGGAGAAATGTCTGTTCATGTCTTCTGCCCATTTCTTGACTGGATTAATTGTTCTTTGGGAGTTAAGTTTAATAAGTTTTTTATAGATTTTGGATACCAGCCTTTTATATGTCATTTGCAAGTATCTTCTCTCATTCTGTCAGTTGTCTTTTGATTTTGTTGACTGTTTCCTTTGCTGTACAAAAGCTTTTTATCTTGATGAAGTCCCAATAGTTCATTTTTGCCTTTGTTTCCCTGGCCTTTGGAGACATGTCTAGTAAGTTGCTGTTGCCAAGGTCACAAAGATTGCAGCCTGTTCTACTTTAAGATTTTGATGGATTCCTGTCTCACACTTAGGTCTTTCATCCATCTTGAGTCTAGTTTTGTGTATGGTGTGCATGTGGCTGTCCAATTTTCCCAACACCATTTGTTGAAGGTACTGTCTTTTTTCCATTGGATGTTCTTTCCTGGTTTGTCGAAGATTAGTTGACCATTGGGTTGAGCGTCCATTTCTGGGTTTTCTGTTTTATTCCATTGATCTGTATTTCTGTTTTTGTGCCAGTACCATATGGTCTTTATGATCATAGCTTTATGATACAGCTTGAAGTCCAGAATTGTGATGTCACCAATTTTGGTTTTCTTTTTCAACATTACTTTGGCTATTCAGGGTATTGTCTGGTTCCATACAAATTTTAGAATTGTTTGTTCCAGCTCTTTGAAGTAAGTTGATAGTATTTTGATAGGAAGTGCATTGAATGTATAGATAGCTCTACGTAGCATAGACATTTTAACAATATTTGTTCTTCCATTCCACGAGCATGGAACATTTTTCCCTTTCTTTGTGTCTTTGTCAATTTCTTTCATGAGTGTTCTATAATTTTCTGAGTGTAGATCTTTTGCCTCTTTGGTTAGGTTTATTCCTAGATATCTTATGGTTTTGGGTGTAATTGTAAATGGGATTGACTCCTTAATTTCTCTTTCTTCTGTCTCATTTTAGTGTATAGAAATGCAACTGATTTTTGTGCGTTGATTTTATATCCTACCACTTTGCTGAATTCCTGTATGAGTTCTAGCAATTTTGGGATGGAGTCTTTTGGGTTTTTCATATAGAGTATCATGTCATCTGTGAAGGGTGAGAGCTTGACTTCTTTGTCGATTTGGATGTCTTTTATTTCTTTTTATTGTCTGATTGCTGAGGCTAGGACTTCTAGTACTATGTTGAATAGCAGTGACAAGAGTGGACGTCTTGTCATGTCTCTGACCTTAGGGGAGATGCTCTCAGTTTCTCCCCATTGTGAACGATATTTGCTGTGGGATTTTCGTATATGGCTTTTATGATATTGAGGTATGTTTCCTCTATCCTTACACTGAAGAGTTTTAATTAAGAAAGGATGCTTTAGGGATCCCTGGGTGGTGCAGTGGTTTAGCGCCTGCTTTTTGCCCAGGGCGCGATCCTGGAGACCTGGGATCAAATCCCACGTTGGGCTCCGGGTGCATGGAGCCTGCTTCTCCCTCTGTCTGTGTCTCTGCCTCTCTCTCTCTCTCTCTCTCTCTCTGTGTGACTATCATAAATAAATAAAAATTAAAAAAAAGAATGCTTTACTTTGTCAAATCCTTTTTGCATCTATTTTTTTTGCATTTTTGCGTAAAATGCAATAATGCATTTTTGCATTATTGAGAGGATCACATGGTTCTTGTCCTTTCTTTTATTAATGTAGTGTAACACATTGATTGATTTGCGGATATTGAACTACCCTTGCAGCCTAGGAATAAATCCCACTTGGTCGTAGTGACTAATCTTTTTTACTGTACTATTGAATCTTATTGGCTAGTATTTTGGTGAGAATTTTGGCATCCATGTTCATCAGAGATATTGGTCTGTAATTCTCTTTTTTGATGGAGTCTATCTGGTTTTGGGATCAAGGTAATGCTGGCTTCACAGAAAGAGTTTGGAAGTTCTTCCATTTCTATGTTTTCAAACAGCTTCAGAAGAATAGATATTAATTCTTCTTTAAATGTTTGGTAGGAATCCTCTGGGAAGCCATCTGGCACTGGACTCTTACTTGTTGGGAGATTTTGATTACTGCTTCAATTTCCTTGCTGTTTATGGGTCTGGTCAGGTTTTTTTATTTCTTCTTATTTCAATTTTGGAAGTTTATATATATATTCCTAGGAATGCATCCATTTCATCTAGATTGCCTAATTTATTGGCATATAGTTGCTCATATATGTTCTCATAATTTGTATTTTTTTGTGTTGGCCATGATCTCTTGTCTCTCATTCATAATTTTATTTATTTGGGTCCTTTCTCTTTTCTTTTTGATAAGTCTGGCCAGTGGTTTATCGATCTTATTCTTTGAAAGAACCAGGTCCTCAATTTGTTGATCTGTTCTAGTATTCTTTTGGTTTCTATTTCATTGATTTCTGGTTTATCTTTATTAACTATGTTCTCCTGCTGGGTTTAGGCTTTATTTGCTGTTTTTTTCTTCAGCTCCTTTAGGTGTAAGGTTAGGTTGTGTATTTGAGACCTTTCTTTCTTTTTTTTTTTTTTTTTTTAGATTTTTTTTAAAATTTATTCATGAGAACAGAGAGAAAGAGAGAGAGAGAGGCAGAGACACAGGCAGAGGGAGAAGCAAGCTCCATGCAGGGAGCCTGATGTGGGACTCGATCCCCAGTCTCCGGGATCACGCCCTGGGCTGAAGGCGGCGCCAAACCGCTGAACCATCCTGGCTGCCCGTATTTGAGACCTTTCTTATAGTAAAGGCTTGTATTGCTATATACTTTCCCCTTAGGACCACCTTTGCTGCATCCCAAAGGTTTTGAATGATTGTGTTTTCATTTTCACAAATTTTTAAATTCTTTAATTCCCACTTGACCCATTCATTCTTCATTCTTTATTAGGATACTCTTTAGCCTCCATGTATTTGAATTCCTTCCAAATTGCTTCTTGTGATTGAGTTCCATTTTCAAAGCATTGTGGTCCAAAAATATGCAGGGAATGATCCCAGTCTTTTGACACTGGTTGAGACCCGATTTGTGACCCAGTATATGATCTATTCTGGAGATTGTTCCATGTGCACTTGAGAAGAATGTGTATTCTGTTGCTTTAGGATGGAATGCCCTAAATATATCTGTGAACTTCATCTGATCCAATGTGTCATTTAAAGCCCTTGCTTTCTTGATCTTCTGCTTAGATTATCTATCCACTGCTGTGAGTAGGGTGTTAAAGTCCCCTATTATTATAGTATTATTATCAATGTGTTTCTTTAATTTTGTTATTAATTGGCTTATGTAATTGTCTGCTTCTCTCTTGGCATAAATATTTACAGTTGTTAGCTCTTCTTGTTGGATAGACCCTTTAATTATGATATAGTGTCCTTCTTCATCTCTTATTACAATCTTTGGTTTATTTATTTATTTATTTTTATTTTTTTTTAAATTTATTTATTTATGATAGTCACAGAGAGAGAGAGAGAGAGAGAGAGAGAGAGGCAGAGACATAGGCAGAGGGAGAAGCAGGCTCCATGCACCGGGAGCCCGATATGGGATTCGATCCCGGGTCTCCAGGATCGTGCCCTGAGCCAAAGGCAGGCGCCAAACCACTGCGCCACCCAGGGATCCCCAGTCTTTGGTTTAAAATATAATTTATCTGATATGAGGATTGCTACCCCAGCTTTCTTTTGAGGTCCATTTGCATGGTAAATGGTTCCCCTCCCCCTCATTTTCGGTCTTAAGGTGTCTTTAGGTCTAAAATGAGTCTCTTGTAGATGGCATATAGATGGATCTTGCTGTTTTATTCACTCTGATACCATGTGTCTTTTGACTGGGGCATTTAGCCTATTCACGTTCAGTGTAACAATTGAAACATATGAATTAAGTGCCATTGTTTTACTTGTAAAGTCTCTATTTCTGCATATTGTCTCTTTTCGTTGGTCTGTGTTACTTTTGGGCTCTTTCTTCATTTAACAGATCCTTTTTAATATTTTTTGTGGGGCTGGTTTGGTCATCACAAATTCTTTTAGTTTCTGTCATCTTACACATTTTTAAACATAGACAAAATAGTTAATATCTAATTGAAATT